AAGGCCAGCCACGTGGATGACAGGTTGAGCGCTGGCTGCCCCCATCCCCGTGTGTCACAAGGACCCACTTGCACGCAGCCAAAAGGCAAAGAGGTAAAGAAGGGGAGGAGGAAACCAAACCTGACAGGGAAAGAAAGATAATCCAATTATCACAAAGCAAATAACACATCCCACAGATCAACGTATCTTTTTTCTTTTTTTCTCTTTTCTCTTTTTTCTTTTTTTCTTTTTTTCTCTTTTACTTTTCTTCTTTTTTTCTTTACCTGCCCCCACCTCGGCAGATAGGACAGCTACGGTGAGGATGATGTGGATGTTCACAAGGATGCCCAAGGAGAGCTGCGCCAGCACAGCATTCTGCAGGACGGCTAKCACGAACCATCCCATCAAAACAGTCCTGACAGAGGACGTGTTGTCCACATGTCAAAAACACGGCAGGACGTTCATCACAGTGCGGCATCATACAGTTCTGATAGCGTCCTTGGGCACAATAGGGACAACGTATATCTGGGTGATAGGGATTTGTACAATGAGGAAATGTTGGACACCCTTCAGGACAGACGGCGGCAGTCGCAATAGATTGATAATGGCTATGGCATAGATGATGCATTCCACAGCCAAGGCGCACCGCGATATATATATGTTCATGGTGAACTGCAGTCATAGAGGGAGAAAAGGACGACAATCCCTTTGCGATTTTTTTTGGTTTTGGAGTCTTGACTTTGTGTTTTTTTTTTTTGGTTATGAAGTCGGACTTCATTAGTCTATCGTCGAATTTCTTATTGCTAAACCTCGTTTGCTTTTTTCTTTTTCCCCTTTGGCTGCCTACACGTCGAGCGAGCGAGTAATAATTGTCGCGCTATGATTTGAAAATTATTATCATTAAATCATTTTAATTAATATAGTAATCGAAGTAAAGAAAAAAAGAAAAGGAGAAAATTACTTGGGGAGTTGGCCGTATACCGTTGCACATGCGTTTCTCTCTCTCTCTCTTTCACTCTCTCTCTTTCTCTCTCTCTCTCTTCTTTCACTCTCTCTCTTCTTTCACTCTCTCTCTTTCTCTCCCTCTCTCTCTCTCTTTCACTCTTGTCTTTCTCTCTCTCTCTCGCTCCCGGGGCCAAGTTCCGCTAACGCGGGTTCAGTCTAGTGTTTTTGTTTTTTTTTTGTTGGTAAAGCACTTTATTCTTCTCTCAAATTCGTTTTCGGCCTTTCACTACCTACCTACCTACCTACTCCTAAGGCTATATAGAGGGAACCCGTGCAACCCGTGCAAGCTTTGCTACCTCTAACGGTGTGTGAAGGGGGTACTACATGTTGCCCCTTGCCCTAGTGGATTTTTTTTTAGTTTTTTAGTTATTAAGAAGCCGTGCTACAGACAGGACAGGGAAAAAAAAACCAGAAAAAACAAAAAAAAAAACAGCTCGTCTGCAGCCCTTAGATTAGTGCGCCGCCCCAAAAGCATCTGTTATGTTAATTCTGTATAAAGCGAGAAAAGGTAAGGAGAATCCTCCCCTGCTCC